ATTTCCCCAGTTTTCAACGCCATACTCTAAGTATGGTAAAATCAATGAAGAATACAAAATGCGTAGTGCTTTCCCGTCCAAAATATATCTAACCCTTGCCAATATCGATATATTTTTTGCTATTTTGTGCTGAACATATCTGATATGAGATTTCCAGGAGAATTTGTCATCAACTATGACACCTAGAAATTTAATTTCATGTACTTGTTCTATATTAGCTCCCCCAATTTTCAGTTGAAGCTCATTATCTAGTCTACAATTCCCAAATACCATAAATTTAGTTTTATCCAAATTCAGAGATAGTATATTACTATCACACCATTTCTTTATCTTCTCAAGTTCCTGTGTAACCCGTCCAGAGAGGTATGTGGGTAGTTTTTTCTGAACTAGCTCTGTAAATTAAAATGTACCAATGACTCAGGCACCATAGTGAAAAACGGCCAGCCCACTTCTGGATAAAGTGCACAATGGTGAATTAATGCCTTTGGATTTGTTATGAATCTTAGCTCACTATGACAGACAAAATCCAATTTGCGAAGCCATTGTGATGGTGGATTCATATATAACAAAGCATATATACCAAAAATATGTGAGTGGGCAGTGGTTCCCTGACTTGCTCAGAGATATTGTTGTTTCTGATAGAACAAGTGAATATGCCGGTCATAAAGTAGTCTGTCACGCTTCTAGTCACTGGCCACCCATCATAAAATTCTGGGCTGTAAATCAGTAATACTCACTTGTCCTCCAGAAATAACTAATGAGTAATAATAACTAATAATGAAAACATTCTCCATTAATGTATCCCCAACATTCAACGTATTAGCCTAGCACTTCTCCTTGTCCTATTTTTCATTATTGTCAGTCACTGAATATGTTGGTGTAGCCTACCTTTGGTCTTCTCATTCTCTGCATTGTCCCTGATGTGTTGCAGAAATGTGTGCAACATATGTCTCAGTCGTGCTTTTATTGCCTCAGTTGGATCTCTGATGCAGGCTCTGAATCAAAGGAATTTTAGTTGGAATATACAGTAAATTAAAAATACACTGAAATTCACTAGAGTTGTTGATTTGGAAGCTACACTGAAAAGTAAATAAAAGGCCAGACAAAATCTTTTAAAAGATCTCACTGTAATTGTAATAATGTTTACAGGTTTTAAAACAAACCATAGCCTACAGTATGTGCCTTTTACCAATACACCAGATGTTAAATACACTAAGTAGCCCTGGTTACATTTATAGTAAGCGATACTGCAGTAATACTAGTTTTTTCAACAAAGACCATGATTCTAGTAAAATATCTAAACACTGTTGTACATAGAAAAGTCTGAGATGACTCAACATGGCCACAGTGAGTAATAATATTGTATGAGACTGCAGTCAGTGCTAACCTGAACATGGCAATCAGGCGGTCACTGGGGCCAAATCTCGGCTTTCCCGGGCTGCTCTCGGGGTCGGTTGCCATGGTGACCTTGACTCTCACATAGGATGAAGGTCAGAGCAAGAGTGGGCACCTAAGAAAAAAACATTGAAAGACAGTTAATGCATATAAAACCTTGTGCTACAGTAAAATCAGTGATGAACCTAAGTCAATAGATAACTAGACGGTAAAATGACAACAGGTGACTCTGAGTCTAAACCTAAGATAGGAAAACGTCCCAAACAGGTTTATTGTTTATTCTGTTAGAAAGCAGTGACTGTTGACCTTCTGAGTGTGAGGCAAGAGGAATATTTTAGATGCCAGCGAACCCTCATCTCTGTAAGCAGCAACTGGAATAATTATACAAGAACATTCCAGCTAGACACACAACACAACCACAGCATTAAGAGGGCCTGGCGAATGGAATCATTTTGGACTGAACTGACTGAATTATGTTCTTTTCTACTTTTCTGGGCTGCATGATGTGAAAAAGCATGATGTGGCTTCAGCACACATCATCTCCAACACCTGTTCATTACTGATACCTAAGCAAAGGTCAAGCATTTATTGTCATATGAACAGTGAGGAAACGTGTTTCCCTGTACAATGAAATTCTTACTTTGCCATCCACACAAATGCCACACAATATAAGTGAAATATAACGCAGATACATAGGTAACATAAAATTTAAATCTCAAAATCTAAGGCTCTGTAAAACAGCTGATGAAAGAAGCATAATGAAGAATACAACAAGAACACAATATAATGAAGAGAGAATGTATGCTACATGGGAGATATGTGATGATGAGTTCTCCTCTCCTTCCTCATGTTGAAAATACAAGAACATAACGATGTGAATACTCCTCCTTTGGCTGGTAAACCCCCATTTTACATCAACTGTTTCTGTTTATCTGTGTGCGTGTTCACTGAATGAAGATTCTGTTTCTCTAATCATTCCCACATGTGCTGCTTATCAGTCTGGGTTACTGTCCTCACTGAGTGTGACAGACCTCAGTTTATAGTATGTCCAGATGACATGTGGTGATTGGTGTGTGATACAGAACAAAACAAGTTTAGAGTAAAAAGAAACTGATAGAGGCTACATGATAAAGAACTGAACTGTGAATGTGTATCTTCATCAGAGGAGCACGCCCTTTTTATTATTACCTATGTTTGCTCTGTGCAGTGTCTTGCAAGTCTGCATGGGGCTGGGCCCCATGTGTACAGGACACTCGCATAAATAAACCATGTCATACCTCACTGGGGAGACACAATGGCATTGTGGCAAATACATTGAGAATATTTTTGTGGCTATGTGTTTTTATATTTCCTTTTGAGCCTAGCACTCTGTGTGATTTGGTTATTAGATTTAGTCAGGGTAGTTAGATTAGACAGTTTTGTTATTTCCCTCCAGTTTTTCTTAATTAAGGAGGTACTGGCAGTCTACTGTAGCTGTCTCATGTAAATAGTTACTTAGTTTATCTTACTCAGAATATACCTTATTCTACACACACACACATACAGAGGTATAGTAACAACACACTCTCTGAGCAGCCTTTATCGTCCAAGGAAAAAGTGGCCTGAGAGCAAATACAGAAGCTTTCATTTTTCAGTTTTCCTCCATGGAAGACATGCAGTACAGCTGCACTCTGCTGTTCAATACTTAAAGTAGTCTAAAACTGGGGGCTATAAACACTTTTTTTTCATTATTACTGAATAACATTTCTTGTTTTTTTGAATAATCACTAAATTGCTTGGTTTATAAATGATCAGAAAGAGCTTTGCAAGACCCAAGATGATACTTTCAAATGTCTTGTCTTGTCTGACCTGTAGTTCAAAACCTAAAGACATCCAGTTTACAACTTTAAAAAAATGGAGGCACAATGAAAATCCTCACAGAGAAGCTGGAACTAAGCGAAATTTGAATAATTTAAAAATACCAACAGGTTATCAGAATAGTTGCCAATTAGTAGCATTATTATTCTTATTATTGTAGCTCATTATCTATATCCCAGTACATCTCCTTTGCATTTAATTATTCAAGTTATTCTAGTGTAAGATGCAGTGTGACTTTTTTCTTTAGCTGTTGGTCTAACGCTGGGTTTTTGCTTTGTGAACTTGTCAATTAGGCTAAATCACTGATGTGAGACAGTGAGAAAACACTGGCACATTTCTAAAAACGTCCTCTTTACCAAAGCAGCATGAATTTCCACAGCCTCAGGGGTGAGAGCAGTGAGTCCCCTAGAGCCAATACAAAGAAACAGGAACTTGAGTATGTACGCAGCTTCTCAGAATCACACTGTAGCCTGTGTTCATGTGCATGATTGAAAATCCATGAACCGTCAAGAAATCGTCCTTTGACAAGACTGATAAATGTCTCATTATAAATGTGTACCAACACAAAAACTAGCAATAGAAAAAATTACTTTAACTTACCCAAATGCTTTATGCTGTCCTTTATCTCTAATGCATAAAAGAACTTCTCTGTGCATTATAATGAAGGAAACACCTTTCTGTAAAATGCCATCCAACTTTTGTTTTGCAGGAAATTCCAGTAAATCACAAATAAACATACATTATGATTCACTTCCAATGTGTCACCCACTTTATCTTGGTCACACCATTTCTTGTTTCCTTCTGACAAACTTTCACAGAGAAGTTGCATCAAAATAGGCCTTAGTTTCACTTTCATATGTGGCGCACATTTAAAAGGCACTTGAGTTTACTCGGGACTAATTTTGGGTTTGATTATCAATAAAACATTGCACAATGCATCGAGCCTGGGCTGCAACAGAGCTAATTTAAATAGCTGGCTATTAGCTATGGAGAGTCAGTCTGTCTTGTAGCATTTCTTACACACATGGTGTAGATGACAGCAGTGTTACATTTTACATTGCCTTACATTTGTCAGTCAGGTCATCTCAGTTGAACTTTAGACTTGCTGTAGAACAAAAGACTCCAACTGCTTGAGAAATCACTTACCTGTGCCTGAGTGCCTTTGGTGTGGTTTCAGCAGCCAGGCTGAGGGTGTCCTGGTATAAGAATGTCCTGTGCGTTTGTGCAGCAGCAGAGGTACAGCAGGGCTCAGAGCAGCTAACCTGCTGCTCTACAGGCTGAGGAAGTTCAACCCATTGGCCTCTTAAAGCAGACATGCCCCAACTTGTCATCTGTGTCTGGTTGCTATGATAAACACTGAGGTGGTGGTACACAGACCATAGAGTGCCACCAACAGGAGGAATAAGAGGACTTAAAGTAGAGAGGAAAAGCCTGTAAACCCTGTGCTATGACAGTGATAAAGACGTTGAGCTATGTGCAGTGACATCCAAAACACAGTTGTTTACAAGCATTTACAGGAGTAAACAGACTTAAAAAAATTATAACTAGAACAAAGAAGTGTTGGCTGAGGAAAAAGCTGAATGGACACCCCTACAATACTAACCCTGGCACTGAAAGAACCCTACTGTACTCCTTTCTGCTACTTGCGCTTTAAACATTCATGTTATGTTAGCAACCACTGTTTTCTGATTTATAGCTTTAGCACTTTGATAAAAGCAGGGTGGAAGGAGGAAAAACCTGCTGTAGTTAAGGGTTAAGCAGCAATGCCACTGAATCTGCCTTTGAGAGTGAATACCTCTGTGGAAAACCTACTGGAGTGGAACAATAAGAAAGTGTACAGCGTTGAGGAGGACAAAAAGTTTGTGGCATTGATTACTTCTTGAAAATGGCCCCCAGAAAAAGCAACAGGCAAAGGCACACGTAATTAGTCAGACAGTCAGGAGAATATGTTTAATAAAAATAATTAAACCTCAATTTCCTCTATAGCACTTCATAGAAAGTAATCCAATAAATTACAAATGACTTAAGACACATTTTCCTGCACTACATAAAGAATTATTTTGACTACACAGACCACAACTTGCAAATATTACAACTGTCCAATGGAAAAAAAAGACAAACACTGACCAGGGTGACATTTAGGATATTATCAAGCTTGAAAAAAACAAAACAAAAAACCAATGATCGTAGTTTTATCATCTCAGTGGTCACATTTATGCAAAATAGAACAAAAACCTGTACAGCAGTAGTGTGTTTTGTTATTCCTCTTGCATACTTGTGCCTGTGTCTGATGGAGGTTTTACACTGCTTCTCTAGAAATAGCAGGGATTTGGGAAACCTTATACAGTACAACCTAGGGAAAAAATAAAATGCCTGAAGTCTGAACTTATGTCTACCTTGTCCTGGTTCTGCTCTAAAGAGGCTTAGCACAGTCCTCAATCCATAAATGAGCAAAAGTCGTCTGATCAGTCACCTACAGCAGAAGTAGCAATGACTGGGTGTTTGCATAAGGGCACTACAAGTTTAAAGAGAGCAGAGGTGCAGATGTACAGACTGACAGTGGCATGTTTAAGTTCATTACTCAGACATAAAAAAAATATCATACTGTTAGCAATATGTGTGTGTGTGTGTGTGTGTGTGTGTATAAAAATAAACAAAAATGCAACTGCATTGCAAGCAAAACCAATTTAAAGGAACATTACAAATCAGACATTTTCAGTCTATGCATTCAGACTGTGGGGTTGTTAATGGTTTAGCCCACCAGAGAACAATGCTACAGCAATACTTAAGAACTAAATGGACTGAGTTAATTCAGACTCAACATGGGGGGCCGCTGGAGTGCCCCAGTGTCCCCAGTCCAACCTCAAAGATTCTGAAATGTGTCTTAACAGTCCACTGTGTAACAGCAGTCCTAGAGCAAGCACTGTTGTGCTTGAGGAAATTGCAAAAGTACTTCAGCATGAGTGAACTCCAGTGTTTATGCTGTGTGCATCCTGGTTACAGCTTAAAATGAACAAGAGGGGATGAACAAAATGCACAAACACAGAGCACAAATCTGCGCAGTTAGTTTGTCAGACAGAAGCTGAGAGTGAGTGAGGTACAGGATAAGGGCACTTCTACATCTAGCTGAAGCTCCATTCATCAGCAGAACAGAGTCGAGGACAAAGTGAGATGCACACAACAATGCTGCAAACTTCCAGTGAAACAAGCTGCTATTTCTGAGCCCTTCCTGAAGATAGCCTGTCTGGCACTGTGTAAAAATGTAATACTCAAAGACGATGACAATTACAACAATCTTTGCCATGATTTAAACTATTCTGTGCTTGTGACATGTATCTCCTGCAAGACTTTGGTAGACAGGTGGTCATACAACACAAAAACTTCCTCCGAATTTGTAATACATTGTATTTGAAGGTCAAAACACTATTATTATTCATTCATTCATCTTCTACCACTTAATCCCTGAACGGGGTCACGGACTGGAGCCAATCCCGGCCGACAATCGGGCGAAGGCGGGGTCCACCCTGGACAGGTCGCCAATCCATCGCAGGGCTAACACATAGACGAACAACCACACACACGCACTCCTATGGGCAATTTAGAGACACCAATCAACCTAAGCTGCATGTCTTTGGACTGCAGGAGGAAGCTGGAGTACCCGGACAGAACCCACGCAAGCACAGGGAGAACATGCAGAATCCACACAGAAGGGTCCTGGGTGGGGCCCGAACCCGGAGCCTTCTTGCTGTGAGGCAACAGTGCTAACCACTGCGCCACCGTGCTGCCCCAAAACACTGTTAGACACAGTTTAATACAGGACACACTGACTGGAAAGTTACAGAAGCAGTAACCAGGTGAGATGAGCAGTCGAGCCAAACAAAACACCACAGCGGAAGCTCTCAGGAAAAACAAAAAAGAGGCCTGTGACACACACATTCCATTCGAGACAAGGACATTATGTACATGGACAGCAAGAAAACACACCCATGCAGATGTACAGTTGCACAGTGAAACCTAGCCATTTAGGACAGTTGAGGTAAGATGCAGTCAGATATACCAGGGCTGCTGAAATAATATCCATGTCATCAAGAATCCTGAACTTTAGCACTACTTTACACAGAAACCACAAAATCAGTCAGGACCTCAAAGGATCAAAGGACAGTTTTGGCACACAGTAAAAGGTGGTTTTCTCTCTCCCACAGCACAAAGAGTTTAGATTGATGCTGCAATCGAAATCAACAGACGTGCAAGTGAGCATGTAAGCCTACTGTGGGAAGCTAAAGTGCACCTTGGACAGGTTGATAAGGTGAATTACACAGTGTGAAAAATGAAACCTTTAAATGTAGAATCACAGCAGAAAATTCAATTATTTATTTAAGCTGATGGATTTGATATATATATATATGTATATATGTGTGTGTGTGTGTGTGTGTGCATGTGTGACAGCCACACAATAAAAAATACAGATGCCCCACACATCAAATGGATATTTAAGAGGGAGCTTCAGGTAATCCCATTCCAGACTGAACAACTGTAGCAATGAGCATGATATGAAACTGATAGGTAGTTGACGCTGTGTGAGTTGTGCACTGGGGTGGGACATGGCAGACAGAGAATCTACAGCTTCAGTGACATTCATTAGCTGCCCAAGTTATTGCTGACATATTCAACATATGATCTGCAAAACATAAGTTGTCAACAAACCTGTAAAAGTACTGAATATTTACAAGAGGAACTAATGTTTATGTCAAGTGTCATTCCCCCAACCCCCAACGATCAAAATATATTAACAGTATAGCTCAACGAACATGTTCATGTAGTTTCACTTTTTTAATAAAATTAAATCCTGACATAATTACAATAATGCCTTTTTGTTGCAATTGTACATCGGGTGGTACAATTTCACAGAGTTCAAAAATCTACTCAGTCTGACATGCAAAATGTCTCAAAACAAGACTAACTTGTGACCAAACACTGAAATTTTATTTCAGTTCCTTTTAAGTCAGTTTTTTCATGTTTTTCATGTTTTTGTAGTCTTTATTACACAACATTTTAGTTAGTTCTTCTATTTACAGGTAAAGAAACTGCAACAAGTGCTGAAAAATCCATATACGCGTATGTGAATATATGTATAGATTTTTAGGCGATACATAAATAAATTTATAATTATATATTCATAGAATCAGTCCTCGTCACTGGAGTCAGAATTGTCTGAGGATGACGAAGAGCTCCCAGACTCCGATGAAGATGAGTCTGCTTTCCCTGAACCTTCAGGACCACTATTCTCTTTTTGTTCTGCTGACTCCTCCTCCTCCTCCTCTTCTTCTTCTTCATCCAAAGCCTCTTCTAATGCCTCATCTTCCTCCTCATCGTTCTTCTCTGCCACTGGCCGCTCTGTCTCCTGTGATGACGAATGGGAGGCTGCAGGGGGAGGAGGAGCAGGAGGAAGGGTGGGGTCACTGTTTGAGCTCTGTGGCTGTGTGGCAGACACGGGAAGGTTAAGGCCTGGAGTGAGAAGCATCCCTGGGTAAAGCATACTAGTTAGTAACAAGGGGTTTAGAGACAGTGGGTGACTGGAGGCTGCAGAGGCAGCTGAAGCACTTTGTGGGGTGGTGGCAGCTGAAGTGGAGCTGGATGTGGAGGAAGTAGTTGCGTTCAAGTCCTCTGTCCTTTCTCCTTTGGTGTCTGAGGTTTGCGAAGGGGCTTTGGAGGCAGATGGCTCTCCTGCTGCACCGCTGGTGGTTCCCTTAGTCTTCTCCTCTGAGCCTCCTGTGTCCTCTTGAGCAGGCTTCCCAACCAAACTGGTCATGCCAAGCAGGTTTGGCAATCCAGCCATACCAGACAGCATCATGGGAAACATGGCAGCTAAGTTGCTTGCAGCGAGATTGCTAGCGTTGGATGGCAGCCCCATCAAGCCCGCTGTGAGCTGCAGGGACTGCAAGCTCTGGAGGTTTTGCTGGAAGGCCTGCAGGCTGCTGAGGTCCATTCCAGGGAGGAGGCCGTTGGCCAGCAGGGAATTCATACCAAGGGCTGAGGCTGCTGGGTTGGGTGCTGCTGTTGCTGCCGCTGCTGCCTTGGCCAGGGGGTTTTTGGGTCGACGTCCACGCCGGCTCACCTCCTCAGGAACAATGGGTCCTGTCAGGATCCTGTCAAACATGCTCTCTGGGAGGTAACCCTGGATAAAACATGGAACATATATGTGTTATACAGCATAGCCAAATATTAAAAATGCCACAGTGCATGAGATAACAGTGGAGTAAACATGCATATTTATTACTAGTTTATTAGGTACACCAAGCTAAACGTAAGCAGGTTATAACCCTCATTAAATGACACTAACTTTTGGTGTTATACTGAGTTGCATTCGTTTTAGCTACTAGTATGTTCAAAATAGCCTTCCTTGATATTGCGTACTGAAATTCCAGTCAAGTCTTAATCTGATGAAAGTGTGACTTTGTGACTCACCGACTGTTTGACCACATCAGCCCATTCAGGAGGGACTCCATACTCAGGGTTCTCCTGAAGGAACCGGCACAGATCCTTCAGAGGAGGAGCAAAAGCTCCACCAACCTACAGGAAGGATTGCACACCACGTGAGCACAGTCAGCACGTTTGGGAAGTACACAGTTGTCTCGGGTGCATAAATTGCACTTTATCAGCCTGAATGCAGATTAAAATATAACAACATATCACTTTCTTTAAGTTGTTTGTAAAATGTTTGTGTATGAACTGTTTTTCAGAAAATATTATATACACACATACATGCAATCAGATATTTCCTGTCCATCATTTGAACAATGTGAGAGCTATAGAATGCCAATATCAAATGATTATAAAGTACACATTTTTGAAAGCAAATCTATTGGTCACTAAAGGCAGCTTTTTAAAGGGTGATTATTATTTTTACAATTTGATGAAAGAACAAGTCCCAACTATTGGCTTGCCTCAATACAGCATTTTAATAGCTTTTTGTTAGTATTTAAAGAAGCTCAGACCCACACACAAACACACCTTGCGTGCATTTCTCCTGTTGATGATCTGGACCCTTTCCTCTCCTGTCAAGCTGTTGACATCGATCTTGTTGGGGTTCCTACAGCGGTGCCTCTTCTGCTTGGGCCGACCATCCTGGAAGTGGAATTGCATTTGCATCTTATTTACCCCCTGGATACGAAATGGAAAATACTCTTGTTAAAAGAAAATGTCTAAATTCTGCACAAATGAGCTACTAGCTTTTGCATTGTCAGACTGTACCTTCTATGAGTGATTTATTTGCTAACTGTGTTCTCTGTCTGTGTTTTGCACAAAACCCTTCTCTTTAAAAGGAGAGCATATTTATTCCATGAAAACTGAACATTTCTTATATTTAATAACATACGACTGCATTTACTGATCATGGCCATGTTTCGTTTCATCATAACCCTAATATAGCCATAAACGAATCTTTCATGAAACAACAAAAATCTTTAATGAATGAAAAAGCTTCTTGGTTCCCTTTCCTCTAACACTACAGAACCCTTGTACCTTTTTCTTACAGTCTACTGAGGGGAGAGACAGATGACTGAGAAAACTGAAAAGAAAAAAAAAAGACTTACAGGAATAAAAGCTCCTGTGTCTGCAACAAAGCCAGGGTGCTCTTTGAGCCATGTTTCTAGGTCTTTCCTCTTGGGTGCATCATCCCCAGCAAGTCGGGTGCCATCTTTGAGGTTGATGACAGGGACCCTGCTCTCTGTGTCTGCAGGAACCTGACCTGAGCTCTGGCTAAAGCCCGGTACAGGGGCAGTCATGCCCACCTGGCCAATGCCACCCCACCCTGGAGGCACCTGAGAATATATATGGGCAGAGAACATTATACTTGCATGTAGCTTAACATTTGTGCATCTTTATGATTCTCTAGGTGGCATAAACATGTGCTCCTATGTTTGCAAAAACAAAGCACTAAAGAAAACTGCTTACATGGTCAGGCACAGCTGGGACTCTACTCCTGTTCATGAAGAGCAGGTCCATGCCCTCGACATTCTTCCTTCTCCCCCTTCGCTTCTTAACCACTGGCTGGCCGTCCACAACTCCATTCAGCCTCATCTGACCAGTTAGACCTGGAGGCGCTAGGGAAGAAACAACCCATTAGCTGTGAACTATACTGTTATATATAAAGCCTAATGTAACTTGAAATGATAAAGCTGTAAGATACATCTTGAAATAGTGGCACAGTCACTTCAGACTTAAATCATCTGTTTCAAACTTTCACCTGTAGTTAGATAGGTTACAGGCTCAGTGATATACAGTATGTCAGACTCAATGCATCTTTTCCATCCTATAGACAAAGGCAGTAGGGCTGCAGAAGATGACCAGTGATTACACAGTCAGCAGAACTATACTTTGCAGCTATGTAGTGGTAGTAAAGGAAAACGTGTTAGCCTCATCTCCCTACACTGTGTATGGACAGATCTTGAGGTATTTGCTGGAGTAAACACACCAGTCTGGAAGCTGCACTGGGGCTTGGTGATGTCAGCCAGGCCCATGTCCGAGGCATTCTGCAGCTCATGAAGCCGGGCAAGGTATTGCTGCTGGGCCTGGGAGCCCTCCTCTGACTCCAGGGGCCTCTTCAGAGGTAGACCCTGTTTCTGGAAGGTCAACTTCAGCCCCCCTTCCTGGTATGATTAGACAAAGAAGAGCGTGAGACAAGTTCAGAAGAAAATCAAGAGGCAAACACAGAATTATAAACAAAAAAGAAACATCATACTTATTTTTTTAAATACCTTCTTAGATTGTTTATTGCATTCAGACTGTCAAATAAAACCTTTGTCTGTTTTTCTGTACAAATTCTTAAAGTGATTTAGATTTATGTAAATTATCATCTAAAATGAAATTTTCATGACAACACATTGTTCAGGTATTTCCTTGTTAGTACTATGGGGACACACAGATGCAGTGGGCAGTGGGAAAAGCCTGTTCATAGTTTGCACTGTACTGGGAAGCCATGCCAACAAAGGCAGCTGCTGGCAGCGTACAAAGTCCAGATTTTAAAGGTAACAAGCAGTAGGTGTTTGAGGATCTGTCAAGGTAAAAACTATAACATCTGGGAAAGGATCCTTGTCAAAAAGCAACACAAAAGCAAGGAATTAATGGAAGCAAGTCTCAAGCCTTCCAAGTTAATAGCCACAATGCCTAGGAGCATATTAAAAACCACCCACCCGAGCCTCTCCATTTCAATCAGATTATAAACAAGACCCGTTCACTCTAGAGAGACTTCAAACTGAACCTTATTATAACCTCATGACTGAGTGATTTGTGCTCATGTAATCACAGCCTCAGAGCCCAACTGTGGGAAAAGAGAGGAATGCTGCTATTAAATTAATCTCTCATCCCACCAGGCAGTCAAAACCACTACTCATACCCCAAGGAAGGAAGAAACCTGAGAAACATGCTCAACACGGCAGCTAACACCGGTCATGGCAGCAGAAGTGGCAGGGTCCTATGATTAGGGCGAAGCAGAGTGTGGAGGGGAGGAAGGGAGAAATCAACATACATCATTGAGTTTTACTGAGAACTCCTTGTTTTCTGCAACATGCTTGGTCACCTTTGACCCATGTGGCGAGGCAGAGGGGTCCTCGCACAGGCTGCTGGCATTGTCCAGCAGCTTGGTGGTGTAGAAGGAGGTCACTGCACCTCCAGGCTCGTAGACCCGACGTGTTCCTGGCCACTTGCCCTTTAGCACTGCCTGGCAGATGCTGTCCAGGCGGTTGATAATCACACGATCCTAATGAAACAGCAGCATGGAGAGTCTTCAGTCTGATTTCCTACTGCTCACTAGTATGCTGAAGGATTTAATATTGATTAGTTTTTATGACTTACATCATGAAAACTAATCATCACAGACAAATACTTGTTAGACAGTACTTGATTATTAAATACATCCTTCAATTCGATTTGAACAGCTACAGTGACGTTGTTGATGATGAGAATTATTAAGTTTAGCAATGTTTAAAATGGTGCTCTGTAAGCCATGCACTCTTATCATGCATCACTAACAGTGTCTGGATTGCACATGAGTACAGTAATTCACCTTTGGCCAGTAGGAAGCAGCAAGCATGTATCCTCCTCCCTGGAAAGGATGCGAGGAGTTGTTGGTGATGCCGTTCTCAGCCACATGAGTGTCTTGCGTTTCATCCTGTATAGTGCTCAGAGATGCCACGCTGTCCTCATCAAAGCCCTTTACACCTGATGCTGCAGGCACTGAGAACGTGACATAGGAACCGTGTCAAACTATTAAGTCTGCAACAACTTCCTGTCACGTAAATTTGAATATGATTATTATTATTAAATACTGTGCAACTGAGCCAAAGAGAAGTAGAAAGCGGGAAAGAAATCTGCTTTATTTTATTTTAACTATCTATGTGATAAGGAATGCAGTGAAATATAACCTGTCTTTGCTCTGACACGTTCCCCAAAATATTTCTCAACATCACAATAAAAACTTAGAAGTACTCACCTTTCTTCTTCCTTTCCTCTCCCTCACTTTCACTGTCATCAGAAGAAGATGAGGATGATGATGATGATGAAGAACCAGAGGAGCAAGATGACGAAGAGGAAGAGGAGCTGGACCCGGAATGTGATGAGGAAGAAGAGGATGATGATGAAGAAGAGGAGGAACGTGATGAAGAGCTTGAAGAGGAGCCATCCGAGTCAGACTCGGAGCCACGCCTGGCCTCTCTGCGGTCCCTCTTGCTGGCCTTTCTGGGTTTCCTCTCTGAGGAGTTAGGTGTCAGGGGTTTGGTTCGTGCTGCCACCATTTGCCTCTCATTGTCCCGTGTCTCAGAAACAGGCTTCTCTTCCAGACCTGTGGGAGTAGCTGGCGCTCGGGGAGGACTCCAGCTCTTGCCCGGTTTCTCTCTGCTCTCCTCACCCTCTGAGGCTGGTTCCAGTTTAGGCACAACCCCACAGGGGTCTGTGTCTCTCTGGGCTGGTGGAGGCAGCGGAGAGCCTGTCAACACTGAGCTGGTGGCCTGGTGCTGAGGGTGTAGGAGCGGGGTGGATGTGCGTGATTGCTGCTGTGCAGCTTTTGTATGGCTGTAGTCACGCTGGGCAGCCATAAAACTGAGCTCAGGGTCTCTCAGAATGTGGTAATCTGTGCGGCTGACACCGTGCTTGGCCGCACCAATAAGAAGGTCACGGTCATGTGTACCAGCTTCCCACCATACAGGTAAATCAGAACTCATCTGGCACAGCGGCAGGCGCTCATACAGTAACGGATGTCGAAGGACTTGTTCTCTCACCTGGCGAAGAAGCTCTACTCTGTACAGAGTCCGGGATGCTCGCTCCTCTGTGATGGGCTGGATGGTCAGAGATGGGTCCACCGCAGCGTCTGGAACAAACAAGAATAAAGAGAAGGTGTGAGAGTTGGTGTGTACAAGGAAATAAAGGCTGCTTTATAGGTAGGACCCAGAGAGCAGTCTGGCCCAGGAGTTTAAACATTACACTGTTTGTCTTTCCACAAATGACTAAGCTTATCAACGCTTCTACCTCAGCCCTGCTGAGACAGCTTGTTTGCTAGGGTGCTACTAATCTCTCTCCAGAATAAAACCATTTAGTGCCAGTAATAACTGTAACACGTATTAATGACATCATCATGAGAAAAGTGTATGTGTGACATCAGCACGAGGCAAAGACTAAGACATAATATTCTGACAAAAAAAAAAAAGATACAAAAACTGAAATAATCATTTGAAACAAAAGCATTTCCTGTTGTAATCATATGATGTAGCAGAGTCACAGATGCATTGTTGGGAAATGTTGACATGGTGTGAGTACCTGCACTTCTTCACTTCAGGTGTATAAAAATTAAGACTGGCAGTTTGCCTGTGTGCTTTCATATGGGAACAAACAAATAGGTTACTGACCTCCCTCTTTGGGTGGCAGGCGGCACACCCGTCGGCACATGGCCGTGAAAGCACACAGGTATTTCTGCAGGCTCTCATCAGTCTTCTTATGTAGCCGAGCCATGGCCCTGAACTTGGTCCAATCAAACCGACCAAGGCTTGGGTCAAAAACAACACCAAAAGTGGAGACCACCCGGTAGAAGTCAGCCTCTTCTCGTCTGGTCCATCTGAGGTATATTGAACATTTATAATGTGGTTACAATTTGTATATACAACAATACTAAAATGTGATTTGATATTCTTTCTAAGAATTACTCCTCAAAACCCCTAAGGTCTGTCGTATTTCTCAGCCAATCATTGACCTGATCTGTGTTCTGACCTTTGTTGCCGTTCAATCTTAGCAACCATCTTGGGGTTGAGGGTGTCGTTGAGTGTAGATGGCAGAGGGCAGAGTGGAGCAGAGAGTACCATGGTCTGCTGGGACTGAGTTTGGTGGATATGGAGGATCTGTCGGCTCTTGGTATAGCGCTGGGAAGCGGTAATCAAACGCCTCAGCCTGGCTGTCAGCACTGAGGAGGAGGGCCAGTAGGCAGTTTCACCTTCCGTCACTGGAGCTGCATCTGGGAATACATATGATGTAATATACAATACACATTCAAATACAACCATATTTCCAGACTTACCATGAAATGTAATCAGTATTTTTACAGTGCTTGACAGCAGTTTCTCTGTGTATAAGTTAAAAGTAATTAACATTTGGAGCCAAATTTGACACTGACTTGACACTGTCATTAATTAATAAAATTGAAATGAAAGTCACTTTCGGCTTTTCCCGTTTAGGGGTCGCCACAGCAAATCGTCACACCGACGACTCGCATGTTGACATTTGGCACATGTTTTATGCCGGATGCCCTTCCTGATGCAACCCTGACTCGAACCCGGGCCCAGTGGCGAGAGCGCTGTGCCTTAACCACTAGCCTACCAGGGACGGCTCTAATTAATAAAATTGAAATAACTGAAAATAAATCCCACATTTTCTTTCCCATGTTTTTTTCTCCTGAAATTGTGTCACTTTCATCTTTAGTCCCGACCTGAAAAACTTTAAAACTTCAGGACATGTCAAGCTAATGATAATCCTCTGTGGATTGCAAGCATCTAATACTCACCTCCAGCGTTGTCAGTGACAATCAAGTCTCCAGGAGAAGAGGCGTCATCCTGCATGAGAAGACGATGTGTGTTTATGGAAGGACAATGTCACAACATGGTTCATAGACCATAAACTAGTCAAAGTATTAATTAGGCCTTATTAGATGTAGTTCTTGCAGGTTTACCTCCATATCGTCCTTTAGCAGGGCTGGAGCAGGCTTGTATTCTGGATCATCCCCCCCCACACACCCACACACACACACACACACACACACACACACACACACACACACACACACACACACACACACAGGTAAAGTTTGAGTAATATTTGCAGTTGCCAACTTAGTTAAGACAATTTTAAGAATAGCTAAACTTTAACCAAGAAGAACAGAAGCTAAATAATGTTTTTCAGGTCCAGGACGGGTGTTACGTATAGTACCCACCCATCCATAAAATCGTTGCCTCTCTGTTCAGCAGCAATGGCCTTCTCATCTGGTCGTCCCACACGCTCTAGGAAACACAGGGTAGGGTCTGCCCGAATAGTGTTGTACTTCTCATAACCTGGGAATACAGAGAAGGACAAGCAAACACTAAATTTAGAAAAGCATATCTCTTAGATAGGGGCCAAGCATTATACACAAGCTGGCCGCTTTCCCATGATCACTTGGTGCCAACACTAAAAGTCAGAGCAGATACTTTTCAAAATGATTGGTCAGTAACCTTAAAAACACACAGATAATGATTAATGTCAGGTACTGAACTCTCCACATCTGTAAAATGACCACAAATGGTTTAAAAGTACACAACAGGCTAGGAGAGTTTGTTTCTACCTCTCAAGCACTAAATTATATCAAACCTGTCACAGTCAGAGCTGAGCTTTCTTACCATGCTTATAGATGCCCAGCAGCAGACACTTGTCAGCGATGGCATCCCACCACAATGCTGGCAGCTCTGAATGATCCGGCTCTGGCACCCATATCTTTATCTCACTGAAGAGGATCAGAAGGAGATTTTGACAAATATTATGTGTGGGAACCTTTTCTGATTTTATTCATTTTCTAACATCCATCAATCTAAAGTCACTTTGGGTTTAGGTATAGTTCCTCTTATGGGAACAATGGTGTGAGAGACAATGAAGTAAATAGATGCCCTTGATCTCAAGACCCTGGCCTGAGCACAGGATTTCTCTGCGTTTTATTTGAGGCAAGTAAAAATTGCACTCAGTTAATGTCAGAAAACTCAGACATTCCTAATATTTATTAAAAATGGTATTTATAAAAAATGGTAAGCGGTCTGACACTTGTATAGCGCTTTTCTATGCATTGTGGCACACTCAAAACACTTTCACACTATTTGCCCATTCACCCATAGGCCCTCTCAAGCACACACACATTCAAGCACCGGTGATATCACCAGGAGCAACTTGGGGGTCAGTGTCTTGGCATGCTCAAGGACACTTCGACACATGAACTGGAGTAGCCAGAATTTGAAGTGCCCATGCTCTCCCTCCTGAGGTTCAACATTTAACTCCCTTGAAGGGAAACAAACCAATGTGAACTGTAAAACTATTTTTAAAAACTAACTTTAGATGGTGATTTGCTGGTTAACTATGGTTTTGTTAAATTATTTTCATCAGCCTTGTATTGTGGAAAAAACTAAAATCGTCACCATTTTTGACCAGCAGGTGGAGCTCTACAACCTTTTTATTCATTTGGCCAATAAGCAGTTTCTTCCTTCAACAGGTTGACACCATATGCTAATGGCCACACTCCACTCTTGGAATAAAATATGAGACAGCTATTTCACCTTGATATGAAAACTACTGGCGCCAACATACAACTCTGACCTTCTGTCTATTTTATGGATCCAGCTATTCATTTATGTGAACAGCTCAAGAATTTTACAACCATACTAGGCAGAGTTTTAGGTACCATGAACTGTACTGGTTCAAGTAAGTGTTTGCGTATCAAGAGTTTCACACAGTATATGGTATAGAACAATGTTAACTGTAAAGCACAGGGCAGAAGAAAGTATATGCAAGGAAACGTAACATCTGATTAGGTGAAAGTTCAGCTCACCTGGAGTCCACACCATCCAACACCGTCTGGGCCTGGCTTCCTATCACCTCTTGTTTCAGGTAGTAGAGCATTCTGACCCTGAGCAGCACCCTGCATAGACAAAACCCACTGGTCACAACAAAGCCCTGACCATACACACAAATGCTGAGCAAGCGGAACCAGCACACAAATACTCACAAATGCGCAGCAACACAATGTAAATAAGTGAATTGTGACAACTGCGCTCTAATCCTAAAATTGTCATCTACAGTTGTATCATTTCAGTATTACTGTACCCTCCAGCAATAGCATACATCCTTCTAAATGTATATACAACACATACGGTACATATGTTTTGTTTTTGTAAGTTTATTTAACAGTACATCAGTTTTGTTTAGCAGTGAATAGCTATAAAGTATGAGCTGTGCAACCCATGCACAGAGCAGGACACATTAAGTAAAGCACCATGATAGCTCAATACACACTATGCTCAATCAATTAAATTGGTGAATTATTGCATCACTGAGGTCCACATTATTGTATGAACCTCACAGTGAGTCACGAGCAGCACCACAGCTAGGCCCTGAGGACTGAATGAAGAGACAAGAGTCTCCCCCTTGTTGTCACGTGGTCGTGCTCTGGCAGTAGATGAAGGGTGTGAAGTCGAGCCTGATAAGGTAGAAAGAGGCTGACTCACAGGGGAGACATTAGCTCTGTGATGCATGATCACACATCACAGCCAGCAGGCTTTGAGCAGAGACACAGTGATGTGGCGGGGATGGTGGCGTGCTGGTGTGCCTGACTGAAATGTTTGGCTTGCCTTGAGATTTTGTTGAATGTAGAAAGCACTCCCGTGTTGCCAATGATTTTAAATTCCACTGTGTAATATCTTCTGGCACAGAGGTTTAAGGATTTCTGGCATGAAAGCTAACTCTCTATGGAACATTGCTTTCCCCATGGAGTTATTTACCTGTCCTACAATTATTCTTTACACAATGATGGGTACATCTCACACATACGCTTTTTCTGAATGAGGCTCCTTAAAACTCCCATATTGAAACACTCACTTTTTCAAACCAAACTGATCCAAATTAAATTTTGATTGTGTAAATTTAACACACTAAATTTAACTGAATATTTAACTCATGCTCACTAGTTCTGTGGCACACAACTGTGTAGCACCTGTTGCCAGACTTCTGAACAGTGGAGAAAGAAATACCCAGATCCCTTACTTAAGTAAAAGTACAAATACCACAGTGCAAAAATACTCTGGTACAAGTAAAAGTCCTGCATTCAAAATGTTACTTCATTAAAGTACAAAGTGCTAGCTTCAAAACATACTTAAAGTACTAACTGCAAAAGTACTCATTATGCAGAATGGAACTTTTAAAATTAAAGCATATCATCTTACTGGATTATATTTATTCATGCAATATTGTGTACATCACATATCATACTGCTGCTGGTAAAGGAGGAGCTGGTTTTAGCAAACTTATAATTTGTACTTTACACACTGCTGGGTAGCTTGTGCGATCAATAAAGTGTCAGTTATAAAGTTCTAACATAAATGGAGTAAAAAGTATAATATTTGCCTCCAAAATGTAGTGAATGACGTAGCTGAAAATCAAAATACTCAAGTACAAATACTTTAAGTTGAACTTAATTCAGTACTTTCCACCAATGGTACTGAACACTAGCTTCAAAACATACTTAAAGTACTAACTGCAAAAGTACTCATTATGCAGAATGGAACTTTTAAAATTAAAGCATATCATCTTACTGGATTATATTTATTCATGCAATATTGTGTACATCACATATCATATTGCTGCTGGTAAAGGAGGAGCTGGTTTTAGCAAACTTATAATTTGTACTTTACACACTGCTGGGTAGCTTGTGCGATCAATAAAGTGTCAGTTATAAAGTTCTAACATAAATGGAGTAAAAAGTATAATATTTGCCTCCAAAATGTAGTGAATGACGTAGCTGAAAATCAAAATACTCAAGTACAAATACTTTAAGTTGAACTTAATTCAGTACTTAAGCAAATGTACTTACTTTCCACCAATGGTACCGAACATTTGAAATTTCATACATTATTCTCTAGTTAACTGTGTTTGCAGCCAAACATCACACAAATTATCACAGACTTCTATATTCATCCATCACTTCATATGGACCTGCGGCCTCTTCTGCCAACAGTTCTATTCAATGCAGCTCTTCTGTCAAGAGCGCTGAAAACATTTTGGACTGCTGCTCTGAAATACAGCTCACCAGGCAGTCCGTCTCTCTTCTGCGGTAACTCACTAAATACAGTATTTCCTGTTTCACTGACAGAAGCAGGAGAAACGGCTGTGACGTCTGTCTGTTTCTCGGAGTGATGGATGTCTGTGGTGACCAGTCATGACTTGTAGCTCTGGCACGTCAATGTCTTGAACTTCCTCTCTCTTGCTCTCTCCACCCTCCACCCTCCTGTGTGACTGGAGCAGCTCAGGAGCAGCTGTTGCTTCCTCTGCTCGTCAGCACAGCTCTTTATTACTCTCTTCCCAAGCCTCTATTAGCCAGTGTCTCTCTGTGTGTGTGTGTGTGTGTGCACGCGCGCGTGCGTGATATGGTTCACTCAGAGGTTGCAGTGGATCTCAGCACAGTCGTACAGTCTTTCAGAAGCAAATAAGTCAAGTATGAACAACACGACTGGCATGAACAATCCATCAAAAACTAGCGTCACAGGAAGAAACTGAGCCACAGATGCAATTCTGATTGAAAACACACAAGCATCATGCATTTTTTATGTTTTGTCAAAACTTTACTCTAAGATTAAATTTGTCAGCAGATTTAATCATCACAGTCACATCTTCACTTCAGAGTATGCAGTAAAGGAACAGCTGATACTCATTCAACAAAAAAGTGCAATAAATTCACAGCATGATCATTCAGGATGGTCAGACTTTGAGGTGTTGCTGGTATTTCTGACCTTTTGGACTTTTGGACAGTGTCAGAATCCAATACTTCCTCTAGTTTTTATTTCCATGTAGAAGCTCTGCCCTACATTTACACTCCCCATAAAAAAGCCACCCCCACCACACCGGTCCTGTTGCAGGTACTCAGAGAGCAAATGCAGAAGTCAGCATACCCTGCTAACTACATGCCCCTGTTAATGTGGTGTGTCACATATCCCTGGATTCAGCACAACTGGACCAGGAAACAATAGGGAACTTTCTGTGGAGGCTTCAGTACTGTGCATCCAAAGCTCAACAGTCCTCGTTTAGAAAGCAGTAGCCATCTATCTGACTTTAATTCTGAGCAGTCCATGTTTTGATAGCAACCATCTTTTCCCCTCTGTCTGTAAATAATAGCGATCTACAGTGGCCATTAGATGGGCTGAAGTCTCATTAAGATTCACATCAGTCAGATGGTCTCGATGTCATGCACGTCCATTAATGAATCAGTAGACTGTCTGCTCCAATAGACATTTTAGTGCCTCCTAATTACTGTGGCTTGTAGGTGCTGGAGTTAAAATTTCAGCCATATGCAAATTGTATTTTTATACACTTAGGCTTCATTCTATTAAAAATAAACTGATGAAATCTGTGCTAGAAGAGAATAATGACCACCTGCCAGGTGCTATGACAGCACCAGCATTTAAACAGACACGAACACACACACACACACACACAACCACAAGAGATAAAAGAACCAGCCACAGACTATTAATCACCATGTGCAGTGTAAGCAAGTTAAATATATGACGTGAAATACAATAACGCTTTTATACAGTGGAGAACATGTATCGTGAGTATTGTGGCTACTACTACTGATTTCTTATAAACACCTAGTTAAAATATTGGAAATTGGAGGTGTCTTATATACTGTTTGTGATGTAGGAATATACTTTATGGAAGCTGAACTGGTTTCAGTAAATGTTTGCTAAATTCTTAAAATGTTGCACATGCAATGTAAAGTGGCACAAGGAAACACCTACTTGTTGCAGTGGTGTTTGAGGTGTTTCTTGTAGCCGTCGTCCTGAAGCATGTGTTCGGGGTTATGTTTCCTTAGCCACTCAGCCTTATGAATGTCAAAAGAGCTTGACTGGGTCTTCATTTTCTTACCCTTTCTACCCCGAGGGACCGGGGCAGACAAACCTAGAGAAGGAAGATAGGGTTCAAATAGAATCATTTCCTAGGTCACATGTAATCTAGCCTTATCCATTGACCCTTGTCTGTTACTTTTAAAAGTTAAAGTTACATTAAGGTCCCACAACTCACCCAGGTGATTCTGCAGCTCTTTGGCACGTCCGTCCTCAGTAGGGGCAATCAGGTCCCACATGAAGCTTTTGATTCTGTCATCTCCACGGTAATGGACCAGGCAGTAAGCCAGCAGGGCCCTGCAGATGGACTCCACATCCCACTCTGTTAGCTGCTTCTTAAAACGCCCATGGTTGAGAATATCTTTCCAACGACCCCACCTGGAAAACAATAATAAAAATGGCTCAGATTGAAAGTATCATTTGTTGAAGTATACTATTTGGAGGACATTTCTATATTGAAATTTAACACAGTATATCATTTTACTTTTAAACTGATGACAGCTGTGTTATAATTGGCATATGTACCTGGCATTGGTCATAAGCAGTAAGGGATACTGAGACAAACCAAAACAAGTGACTTATAGTCACTAATTTATCCTTCTTGTATTCTATTACATATTTTAGTTCAGTCCTATCTATGGACATGATCAACACAATTGCAGTCATTTTGTCTTGACCTGTTTAGAATCATCTTACCCATATACAAGCAGGTTCTTCTCTACTCTGAAACACTCTGTGCGTCCATAGCTGTTGAGGCGGTCATGGTTTCGCCTGAGCTTAGGTTTGGTGTCGTCACTGTCACTGTCACCCTCCGAAAGCTCTGCTAACTCATCCTTGGTGGCACTGAATGGCCTTGTTTGTTTTCTGACACGAGGAGTGTCGATCACCAAGGTGTTCTACAGTGAAGGAATGAAGGGCAAACACAAATTCAGCAAAGGGATTTCAGGCCTTATCCTGGAGGTCTGCAGAAGTTCTGGCATTATATCTTTGTGAACACTGTCCTACCTATCCACTATTATAAGCATTGTGGTGTGTTACTTACTCTGCCATTGACCATATCCATATCAATGTCAGCCTTTTTGGCCCATTTGTCCCAGAAGTTGGGGTCATCCAGAGAGATGTCTGTGCGGTTTCCAGATGCCACAAAACTGGCCTGAAAGCAGACATCAGAACCTTATCAAGTGACAATATTTGGTATTTGCTGTATGTCTAGTATGATGTGTTTACTAGCTTCAGTTTAGAGCTCTTGACTTAGACCGGTTGTTGTATAATAATAATAATGAATTTCATTCACCTTAGCAAAGGTGGATCCTCGTCCTTCAGACTCAATAGTGATGGTCTTTGTCCTGCGCTGGAGGATCTGGTCGATGTCCTCCTCACAGAATTTGGCCCCTTCATCCTCCTCATCCATGATGGCCCCATAGGCTCCTCGCCGCAGCAGGTCCTCAATCTCCTTCTTAGACAGCTGCTGCACAGCCTGGCAGAGAAGAAGAAGAGGAGATAGTTAGGGTCAAGAAATCCCATCTGACAGGTAAAAATTATTTATGCCATTGCCACAGGTGTATAAAATCAAGCACCTAGCCATGCAGTCTCCATCTGCAAACATTTGTGACACAAAATGGGTCATTCTGAAGAGCTCATTGACTTCAAGTATGGTGCTGTGATAGGATGCCACCTTTGCAATAAGACAGTTTGTGAAATTTCATCCCCACGGTCAACTTTAAGTAGTATTCCTGGAAAGTGGAAGCATTTAGGAACAACAGCAACTCAACCACAAAGTGGAAGACCACATGAAAGCCATAGAGCGGGGTCAACAACTGCTAAGGTGCATGGTGTGTAAAAGACGACACTGCTGATTTCATAGCTGAATAGTTCTGAACTTCCACTGGCATTAATTTAACCACAAAAACTGTGCGGCGGGAGCTTCATGCAATGGGTTTCAATGGCTGAGCAGCTGCATGCAAGCCTCACATCGCCAAGTCCAATGCCAAGCGTCAGATCGACTGGTGTAAAGCACACCGCCACTGGACTATAGAGCAGTGGAAACATCTTCTATGGAGCGACGAATCACGCTTCTCTGTTTGGCAGTCAGAGGGGAGAGTCTGGGTTTGGCAGATACCAGGAGAATGTTACCTGCCTGACTGCATTGTGCCAACTGTGACATTTGGTGGAGGAGGGATAATGGTATGAGGCTATTTTTCAGGGTTTAAGACTTCCAAATGGTCATCAGTCATGGTGGAGCGGTATTTGGACTTAATAATCTCCGTGTGAGAAAATGCTGACTCACATAAATAAGCAGAGACAAATAATGCAGTCAATGGCACATTTCCTCATGTCTGGGTACTTTTTCTCTGTAAGTTCCAAAATGGACCATTAGCCCTGGACTTCAGCTGAATGTCAGTCTGTAGTGTCAATATCTCATCCTCCACTCCAGACAAGTTCAGGTGAAACAGCGCTGCAAATTTTGATGCGAGTGAATCAACCTCAATATCTTCCCCAAATGGGTAGCACATAGATGGAGAGACTGGCTTGAGTGAGACAAAGTCTTGAAAGTGCTGGTCAAACCGACAACTGTCAATCTGCTCTGTGTAGCGCAATGTCAAGTTGCGCACACAGATCTTCTGTTGCGTCTCCAGCTCTGATGTGAGGTTTTGGAAGTTCCCCAAATCATGGCGCTGCAGCTTTGAGGAAAGATGTTGCATTTTTCATTTGAAAGCATAAACTTAGCTGATCATATTGACACGCGATCTACCAACACTACCTTTGTAATCGACCGGTCGATTGCAATTGATGTATTGGGCACCCCTGCTCTACAGAATGAATGAGCTTCCCAGACAAACACTCCAAATTCTTGTGGAAACCCTTCCAAGGGGGACCCACTCCATATTAAAGTCTATGTATTTGAATGCAATGTCATTAAAGTTCCTGTTGGTGTAATGGTCCCAATACTTATTCCATCAGACCAGATGCGGACACATGCTAATATCTCAACCTCCCTATAGCAGATGATTCCCATAGGACACCAATGGCAGCTAAACATTCGCATACACACCTCACACTGTTGACACACTCCCTCACAGAGATTAAACTCTAATAGGATCACTTACACTTGAAGTGGAAATTGTGAGCTCCAAATTTTGGGTCTTCAACAGTTCTTTCTCTTTGCTTGGCATCCTGTTTTTATCTGCCATCTGTTACAGTGTTCCTCTGATGTAATTAAGGACTAAGGATATCAGAAACTGCTGACTTATTTTGTAGGAAAGACAATTGAAAGAAATATAACATGAATCATTTTTTGTATTTAGAATTAAGTGAGTGTAAGAAACAAGTTGATTTGCTTGTCTCACTGACAGTAACAGTGTCATGACTGTTTTGAGCGAGCATGCCACTTCAACTAGGCTGTTGAGATTTTGGTCTGTTTTCAATGTGATGCTGAA